GAGAAAGCAATATTATGGATTATGGACTTGTATTTTAGCTGGAAGCCACTGTTTGCCATTAAAAACACCTTGATGGATTTGTTTCTTACACACATGTAGCTTTTCACTTGTCAAGATCATTGTGATGTTTTTATCAGGACTCTCATTCTGACGGCACCCATTCACTGCAGAGCATCCATTGCTGAGACAGTGATGCAATGCTACATTTCTCCAAATCTGATGCAGAAACAAACTTTTTCCTGGCCTTGCGGGGAGGAGTGCATTTCCAGCAAATTTTCATGATTGAGTGAACTATTGCTCTAAAACATGAAGAGTTCTGAAATCCCGTTCTTGTCTTCAAACCAGTACAAAGCAATTATGACGTTTCATTAGCAATATTTTTCAGTAGCCACTTTTACACATTTTCTGTCATTCACAAATGCTACGGCTTTCCGTGTTTGATTCATTTTGCTACTATTCACACTCCACCAAAGGCCAACATTTACTGCAAATGATCTTAATACAGCTGGCATGCTCACATGAGCTCTGCATTTCCAGGCTGTACCGTGTGTGAAGGAGCCGAGGATGTGATGATGCATTGCGGTACCTGCAGTGGACGACGATAGGCCCAGCGCTGGGAGGGTTGGACATCTTGACTCGTCGGATGAATGACAACAGTCCTGTAGCGTGATACGGGACTCCATGATCGGGCCAGCCAGTGAAGTGAAACTGCTTTACCTCTCGCACCTCATTAAAACCCCTCTGCGGAAATAAGAACAAGCATCCACAAAACACCTGAGCACCTGGAAAAATGATAGACTGAAAATCACTTTCCCTGCAAATACATTGGCCCCAAAAAGCTTCTGGATATTTCAAGTCACACTAATGACAAAATATCACAGCAAGTGCAGAGAAAGATGCACCAGTGCATTTTACAAGCTATACATAATTAAAAAAGGGGTACTTGAAGTACTGCAATGACAGATGCAGTGTTGACCATGAAGACAGTCAGCGTTGAGTAACTTCATGCATGTTTGTGGTTTTAAAGTACTGTATATATATGAATAAAAGTGATTTTAGTTAAAAAAAAAAAGACACATGTAGATACAGACTCTCACATATTTATAACTGTGACCTAAGTGCTCAAAAGTGTCCAAATACTTTGTGCGGCCTCTGTGCATTAAACGTATTTCCTTCAGGCTTACAGAATATTAGCCACACTTGCCAATGCTAGACAAAAGGTTTTAACAATAAACTTTAAACACGGTCAAAATAATCTCACCCTCTCCAGAGTGAAAGTCCTGACAACGTATTCCGCGAGCGGCTCGACCTCCACAAACGTCACTTTGAAATCTCCATAAACTTCAGCATCATCTGGCCAGTATTTATAGCATTTCACCTACAGGAGGATGAGACCCATCAAACATAAAATACAGAGCAAATCACATGCACTCCAATGCAAACACGTCTTGAATACAGTAACTATACTGACTGATGCAAAGCTTGATTCACAGCAGTCTGATTTAATTCATGGCATGCTACAATCTTCAAGCTGAAGTCTTGCTTAAATGCTTTGAGATGTGAGGGATCACCTCTAGTACTGTGTGATCATTAGCTCCAAGAGCATTATGATATAAAGACTGCTGTGAAATCAGTTCACTCACTTGTGCATAATGAGAGAATTAAACAAAGCGTCCACAACGTGCACAAATGTACAAAATACATACACAGACATGCTTCAACCCTTTGAGAAGCGTCAAAAAAGTTGATTATTTCTATCTTTTGATTTTGGGGTGAAATATGACCCGTTCCTGACAGGCTCTGTGAGATTCACCCATTTTTGTGACTTCGAGCAGATGATTAACTAGTCCTCGCTCACTCTTCAAAAGGTTTTTGCAGGCAGGGGCCTTCACAGGTCACATCACAGAGCACAAAAACACACAACGGCCCCTCCGCAGGCAGTATAGCGACATACCCGGCCCACCTCCACTAGGTTGGTTACCATCACGATACAAGCCGACTGCTCCTGCCAGATCATCCTCCAGAAGTCGTACACCGTCTCGTGGACAGGGCCTGTGGGAAAGCCAAACGCTCTGCTTTATTTCTCTAAATCTCTGTTTTTATTTGATAATCCGCTTTCATTTCAGTCATTTACATTTGGACATTTGGGAGAGAGAAAAAAAATTGGCATCATTTGACAGATTTTGCACGGCGTCTTTTGTGATATAAATAAAGTAGAATGTATTAGTGGTATATAAAATTAGTATTGTTTGCTAAAGTTGTTACTTTAAAGAGATATTTATGAAACGGAGAGTTCCGGTCCTTGATTCTGATTGGCTGAGCCACGTTCGAAGCTGTTGTAAATTACTCTATTCATATCATACACTTTATTTGCTCTGTTTTATTTTGTGAAACCTAACTACGTATATGGAATAACCGTTTTATAAAAGCAATAAGCCCCGTGAAGCCGTGGTTTACAGTGAATTTATAACAGCTGAGGGGGTTTTAGGCACGAGGCGACAACGCCCCTTAACTGTTATAAATTCACTGTAAACCACGGCTTCTTTGGGGATTATTGCTTTATTCTACATGATTTAACCCATATAAAGTAGTTTTGGTATAAATTAATACACTGAGGTTGATGCAGCAATATTGGATAATATTTTTGACTTAAATAAAACTATTTCACGTAGATGCTATTTTTTTGTACTTGTCGCTACACAAATGTTTCCGGTGCATGTTTCAGTGAATAATTTTGAATTTATGAGCATGCACACTTTTTAAGATGTGTATCAGATAAAAAAGAATGCAGTTTCCACATATGACGACAATCCACTTACTGATTATTTGTTATAGTACGCAATATTTAGTTCATTATATTTAAACATCAGTCAGTTTTTGTTCTTGGCAACAAAGAAAAGACGATTAATTCAGCCGTCCTCATTTACCTTGAGTTGCGATGTAATGGCTGGGCCTCTGGTATCCCTGCAAGAGAAACAAAAATAAGAATTTTGTTGGAGGCAGCAAACAATTCAATTCTGAGAGTCATTTATTTCACAGTGGGCTATGCAAAACTGTGCTACATCACGCTTTTAAGAGTTTCGTTTTGAGACGTGTAATCTCAACACACACACACACACACACACACCACGATTTCTACGGATCAAACACACACTGCAGGGAGACCCGACATCAAATTCCCCCTCCCACGAAAACTAAAACACACCACACCAAAATCATGAGCGTTAACTGAAACACAAGCCAGGGATGTTAACATGCATGATGCACAGGCACAGCAGATGAGTGGCAGCGTGAGGAAGAGCCACAGAATGGAGCTGGAAGTGTGGCGGCGCAAGCGGCTCCATTCAGATGGGCTTCGGGGCATGGATGGGTGAGACAGAGAGGGGAAGTGTGTTCGAATGTGCCTACAGTGATACTTACATCCCTGTACAGCCAAATCTACCGCCCCAAAATCAACCGCATAAGAGTGAGAGAGAGCACAACAATGTCAGTGAGTCAGCAAGCACCTCCAACAAGGAAGAAAAGAAAGCTGTATATTGTGTATAGTTGAGACAAAGGCATGCATAAAAGACCTCACATACGAGGGAGGGAGAGACGTTTCTCACACGTTCGCCAATGGAGGAGGAGGCGGCATCGCCACTTACATCAATGTAGTTGGCATTTATGTAGTCGGAGGACGGGTCGTCTTCCATTGGCTGCAGGATCACTCGAGAATGATCGTCTACAGCGCGACACACGGCAAACAGAGCAGATTCAGGGCAAAAACAGCTGACTGTGTGCGCTAGGAAGCAAGCTTCTAAACAGCTCTTACGGTGGGTGCATGAAAACATGTCCTGGTCATATTTCACCTCAAAACCATTTTGGAAAAAATGCAAAAATCCCCAAAAGATCGATCGCTTTTTAAGCTTATTTGCAGTGTGACGTTATTTCTTATGACGACCGAGTACATTTTCTCTCATAATTTCTCCAGACGTTTACCTACTGAGTCTATTCGTAGCTGTACAGAAATAAAATACACGAACGAAAATCGTGTCATATAGACACAATGACCAGTTTTCGTGAAATAAGCATAATTTAAATGCGTGAAGTTGATGCTAACAGCACCAAGGTCATAGGTTTGATTGCCAGGGAAT